AAGGTGAAGAAACTACAAGAAACCAAAACAAACCCAACACAAAGAAAAGCCCCACTCTGTTCACCTGGAGGTCACTCCCTGGTCACCATCCCATGATGCTCTGAGGCTCATCAGCATATCCACATGAAGCAGTTACAGAGGAAGTTTGGTTTTAATGTGAAACTTCACTAACATCTAAACCTACTCTCATAATCTACCAAAGTTTGGACTTTTCCATTCTCCCTCGGGATAAACTCCATCTTCTTGGCAACAAACTGCAATAGTTAAGATGTGGGTTATGGCAATAAAACAATAACCTTTTACGTTTTAAAAAAACAAATGAAACCTAAAAGAGTAACATTAACATTATTCGCCAGTTATCTATTTGACTTTCCTGGCATTCGGGTGTAGCGCTCCCAGTTAGTACCAGTAGACACGGTGTGGTGGTTTAAGCATGCAGCATGATTAGCACCATATCACCTGGGCTTGAATTCTGGCTCTGTCACATTAGCTGTACCTAACTGGTTTTTGGCAAGTTACTTAAAACTCTCTATACCTCAAGCTGTTCATGTGTAAATAAGGATCATAATATCTCCCTCGCAGGGTCGTTGTGGACTAAATGAGAATTTCAAGCATTCAGCATAATGCCTTACAAGCAGCTAGAGTTTAATGTTAACACTATCATTATGCCCAGCACCTAAGCACATTATCTGGCACACAGTAGGTATTAAATAAAGTGAAAAATTATTGTGCAAGCAGATGGCCTTGCCTATCATTAAGGTTTAAGACTCCATTCCAGGCCATTCACGGTGGCTCATACCTATAATCCTAGCACTTTGGGAGGATGAGGCTGGAGTATCACTTGAGGCTAAGAGTTTGAGATCAGCCGGGTCAATACAGTGATGCCCCATTTCTATTAAAACAACAAAAAATAATAAAAATCCATTCCAAACATTAAACACTAACTTTGCGGTGGCAAGTCACCATCATCCAAATCAGAAACACTCTGTACCCAAGTTACACCTTAGCAGGAATGCCAAAAATGAGCTCCCTAAAAATGAGTTCCCTAAGTCCCTAATTCATAGGTTCTTTTAAAAGGAAATTAAAAATTATAATGCAAAAGGACTAGGACATTCTGTTTTCACTACCCATTTAAAGCACCGTGTAGGTACATCTATCTAATTTGCAGACAAAAATAAATGAAAAATAATTGCATCTCACACTGGCATTTATTTAAATTGTAGCTCTAGCTTGATGCCCAGCTCCTGAACCAGACCTGTTAATAGCTCTGTGAAGGCAATTATCATCCCTGATTACCTTGTATCCCCCAGACTAGGTAATACTACCTAGTACAGATTGGTTCTCAATAACTACCTAAATAAATGTGCTTCTTGAAATACAAAATCTCACCAGCCTTGCCAACATTGCAAAACCCCGCCTCCACTAAAAATATGAAAAAAATTAGCCAGGTGTGGTGGTGAACGCCTGTAATTCCAGCTACTCGAGAGGCTGAGGCAGCAGGATGTCCTGAACCTAGGAGACGGCGGTTGCAGTGAGCTGAGATTGCACCACTGCACTCCAGTCTGGGCAACAGAGCAAGACTCTGTCTCAAAAAAGAAAAATACAAAACCCCATCATGGTTATTTTTCAGATGCCTTTGAAATTTTATTTTGTACAAAAGAGTATTTGGACACACGGAGACAAAGCAGAGAGATCCTTAGAAGTCATCTAATAACACCCCCATTCTCCAGACACCTCCAAAGATAACATTTGCAAGGAGGATACACTGTCTACATCCTTTATAGGCTTCTTGAGGTATCTTTGAAGACAGAAGAAACAAAATTCAATCTTAATAATATTCACAAAGAGGAAGAAGCTGCAGTGTTTCACAGCACCTGTCCATGCAACCATGCATGGGGCCCAGGTAGATTCCCCAGTTCCCCCAAGCAAGAAGCAGGTCTCAATTCATTCCTTCATTCAACAGACTTTTCTTTCTTTTTTTTTTGGTACAGAGCCTGTCTCCAGTCTGTTGTGCAGTGGCACAATTCCGGCTCACTGCAACCTCCACTCTGTGGGTTCAAGCAATTCTCATGCCTCAGCTTCCCAAGTAGCTGGGACTACAGGCATGTATCACCATGCCCAGCTAATTTTTGTATTTTTAGTAGAGAGGGGCTTTCGCCATGTTGGCCAGGCTCATCTCCAGCTTCTGATCTGAAGTGATTCGCCTGCCTTGGCCTCCCAAAGCGCCAGTACTACAAGCATGGGCCACCGTGCCCAGCCTCAAGACATTTTTGAAGGTCTGCTGTGTACCAAACACTATTCTAGGTACCTGGGATACATTAGTGAACAAAAGAAAGATCACGGTGTACACCTACATTTTAGGCAATAGTTAAGTGGCATCTAATAAAATAGAAGAGTATCTGTACATTTTAATAGACTACATAGAGCATAACAGTCTAGGTACAGAATTGATAGTACTTTGGAGATCCTTAAGCTAATGGTTCTCAAACTTGGGTATGCTTCAGTACTACCTACAGGACTTTTTAAAACTCAGAATGCTGGGCCCCGTCCTCTAATATTAAAATAACTCAGAACGCTGGGCCCCATCCTCTACCATTAAAAAAAACTCAGAATGCTGGGCCCCATTCTCTAACATTAAAGCTAGAGGGTATGTTCCCTATTTGGAAAACATCTTTCATACATCTAAATGCCAATGTTTTCCTTAAAGAATTTTTAATCATGAAGGTCAGATTTAGTCTCAAAGGAACTCTTTTTAGGTCTATGAACTAGAAGTATATACAGTATATATAAATAACAGTGACTGGATTAGTAATAATTCTACAGTATTTCTTGTGCTAACTATATTTTCTAGAATTTTTACAATAACCATGAATTCCTATTGAAATAAGAGAACAAAAATGTTATTTTAGAAATTAGTTATGATTATTAAAAAGACCTTCAATTAGAAAACTATTTTAAAAATCATCAGTTAATATACTGCATAAATTAATACTGAATGATTTTTCCCTAGTATATAATTCAAATAACTTATTTTAGCATTTCAGTTTAAACCTGTTTGGATTAAGGATTAATACCTGTGAAGGAAAAAAAAAATCTGATTTAACAAAGAAAATAATAAAAACAAAGCTACAATCATTTCAATAACTGCATAAAAATCACATTTACCATTATTCTACCTGGCAATTACTTATGTCTATGCTTTTACTTTTCAATAAATGAATGCAAGTTATTCTAATTACTGCAAATGAAGAAATTTAAGCCTGGCTCAATGGTTCACACCTGTAATCCCAGCACTTTGGGAGGCTGAGGAGAGTGGATCATGAGGTCAAGAGATGGAGATCATTCTGGCCAACTTGGTGAAATCCCGTCTCTACTGAAAATACAAAAAACTAGCTGGGTGTGGTAGCGGACGCTTGTAGTCCCAGCTACTTGGGAGGCTGAGGCAAGAGAATCGCTTGAAACCGGGAGGCGGAGGTTGCAGTAAGCCGAGATCGCACCACTGCATTCCAGCCTGGCCATAGGGCAAGACCCCAACTCGAAAAAAAAATGTAAAAATGGTTTATGTTTTTTGAAAGACAAATTTAAAATGTCTAAGTTTGGGGAAACTTAGGGCACATCCTTGATGTATGCATAATCATATGGTAATATCCCTGGGAATACCAAGGTAAGACACCACCCCAAACCTGTCCCATATTAACCACCTTCAAGGATATCCCAATCTAAGAAATATGCCGTTATTAATAAAGTCCACGTTCCAGAGATGGGACTAGAATTTAAAACATAATCACCTAGACAACGGTGACTAAAACAAAATCAACTAGGTTAGGAAATCAACTGTCTTTAAAATGACAGATTTACTCTCTTACCATTCAACAAAAATTCCAGAACATCTCTTGAAATGCAGGCTGTTTTAGTACAAGTCATTTTTAAGGGGGGCGGGGAGGAAGTACCTGTATGTGTTACATATAATTTATAGCCAATTTTCTCAAAGTTAGTCCCTAAAACCAGAACTCCATATACTATCTATACTGAAGACTTCCTAGATGCCCACAATATACCAAACTACTTTATAGTTTACTTGTGTCTTCCCACTTAATCTCCTAACGGCCCTATAAGGTAACTACTACTACAATAACCATTTCACAGATGAAAAAACTTAAATGCAAAGTGATTAGTTTGCCCGAGGTCACACAGGTAAGAAGTTAAGGATCCTGGATACACAGATATCCAAGCTATAATACTTAAACTGAGGCGCTTAATCTTTATCTTGATCATGGTTTTGCTGTTCGAATTATAAATTTTTCACATTTCAGGCAATATGAACTAAGTTTTCTTGCCAGTAATATTTGAACCAATATAAAAAAGATGAAAACTGGGGAATTAATACAGGTACTTTAACAAATCTTTGTCACTCTAAAATCACACACCATCTGCAGTGTTACACTTTGAGCACAGAAGGCTGAGAACTTTTCCACCAGCACGGCCGCAGGGATACAGTTAAAATTACGAAAATACTGCATTAACTTACAGTTAAAATTATCTACGGAAATACTGCATTAACTTACAGTTAAAATTATCTACGGAAATACTGCATTAACTTACACGGGTATTGTATTAAAAGGAGGAGAAGGAAGGTTTTTATGTGGTTTTACCTGCTTGGGGTTTGTTTGTTGGGGGTTTTGTTTTTTAGGTTGTTGGGTTTTTCTCCCAACCAGGGAGGTAGAGTGAACTAACAGATTGGAAGGTGATAACCTAACCCTTCCACATACAAGAGCAAAGCTTGGGTGCAAAGGCCGGCGGCGCGAAAGTGCCCAAGAGTTACGCCTCGCGGGTTCGGCCTTTGCTTGGAGTGGGTGCGGACCCGACGCCACTGCTTCCCGCCCCGGCGAGAACCCCTCGGGGACCCACGGCCAAGGCACTGGGAGGCGGCGGGTCCCGCGCTAGTCCCTGGGGCGCGGGACACGAGGGAGAGGGGATGGGAAGCCCCGCAGCCCTCTTACCGAGCTCGGTGCCCCGACTGCGCGCAGACATGGCGCGTGCCGCTCCGCCGCTGCCAGCTGGTGGGCGCCTGCCTCTGCGCGGCGCCGGGCCCTTCCGCCTTCCCGCCCGCCCGCGCGCTCGCCCCGCCCCTGCCCGCTCCAGGGGTGGAGTCGCGGGCCTGGGCCACGCGGTCAGGACCCTTGGACTGGTGCTCTGCGAGGAAATCTCGCCGCTCCCCTGCCCTGTCTTCTCCAAGAGATGCGGAACGGGAGCGCTACCTAGCTCCCGGAAATAATGCTACCAACACCCTTTTAAAAATACTGAAATTGCCAATTGAAACGTTAATAAAAAGCATTCCTAGAAACTTTTAACTGTAAGATTACATAACAAGGGAGGAGATCCAACTGCAGAGCTCTGCAACTTCAAATCTGAAATGTCAGCAGTGATCCCGAATCTTTGTTAGGGAAACCAAGGAGCAATCACGGGCCCCAGGGCACAGTGACTTCTAATCTACACGTCATGAAAAGCAGCAGCTGTGTGGCCTGGAGAACGAAGGGCTTAGAAGTCAGTGGACCTGGTTTCTTAGCCTAGCTCCAGCAATAATTAAATGTGTGACACTGGGCAAATGAACTGCTTTTCTGAGCTTCATTTTTCTCATCTATAAAAGATGACCTTGATAATTTCTTGATTCTTTAAAATTCTATGATCCTATAATGGTAAAATTCTTTAGCCTGATTTCTCTGTGACCAAGCAATTAAAATCCTCGAGTCACTCCACAGCCTCAGTATAGTTAACTTACCTGTACTCACATTTAGAGGCACCTCTGCATGAAAGCAGAGTACAGTTAGTTTTGACTTGTCTACCATGAGCCAGTGAGTGTGCTAGATGCTTTCATACATCATACATCGATGTATGATAGCATTTGAGTCTCTGAACAATCCTGCCAAGAATGTATTTTATCTCCATTGCTATACCTTGAGACATCAAAGTTCTGAATAGAAAGGCATCCTGGTATAGTGGAAATACAGCGGGCTCCAAATAAGCTGAACCCATTAACATACCAGCTCTTCCATTTAATACTGTAACCTGGTGGTTCTGGAAATAATAGTCTGCCTACTCACCTGTAAAATGGAGATGATCAAAATATGTTCACCTTGCAAAGCTGTTGAATATATGCAAGGCACCTAGTACATACCATGGCATACAGCAGATGCTTAAAAAATGGAAGCTGTTAATGTTATTGTCAGGTTCACTCAGTAATTACTGAGCTGTTTTAAATAGGCATAGTAATCTTTATATACTCCTCTACACCGAGCTTTCAGCCTTGTCCACACACAGCCACTGTTGAATGTTTCAAATGTGTCTAGATCCTATTCATACATACTATAGCACTTACCTTTTTTATGTATGTATGTATGTATGTATTTTGAGACAGAGTTTCACTCGTTACCCAGGCTGGAGTGCAATGGCGCGATCTCGGCTCACCGCAACCTCTGCCTCCTGGGTTCAAGCAATTCTCCTGCCTCAACCTCCTGAGTAGCTGGGATTACAGGCACGCGCCACCATGCCCAGCTAATGTTTTGTATTTTTAGTACAGACGGGGTTTCACCGTGTTGACCAGAATGGTCTCGATCTCATGACCTAGTGATCCACCCGCCTCGGCCTCCCAAAGTGCTGGGATTACAGGCTTGAGCCACCGTGCCCGGCAGGCTATTTATTTATTTTTTGAGGCACGGTTTTGCTCTCATCACCCAGGCTGAAGTGCAGTGGAGTGATCTCGGCTCACCACAACCTCTGCCTCCCGGGCTCCAGCAATTATCCTGTCTCAGCCTCCCAAGTAGCTGGTATTACAGGCATACACCGCCACACCTGGCATTTTTTTGTTGTTGTTTGTATTTTTTTAGTAGACACGGGGTTTCTCCATGTTGGTCAGGCTGATCTCGAACTCCCAACCTCAGGTGATCCACCCATCTTGGCCTCCCAAAGCTCTGGGAATATAGGCGTTAGCCACAGCACCCAGCTTAACACTTACCTTTTTCATATTAACCTTGAAAAACAGAAAAGCAGGCAATGAAAGCCTGGAGCTGGCCTGAAACTCATAACTGGACCATGGTTTTCCCTGGTTAAACATATACAGTTTCACAGAACATCAGCCAAGGCCATTGTGAGCATAATGAATCAACAAAAACAGGACTGTTGATAATCATGTCTGATAATAGAAAACCATGAATATTGTCCAAATAGCCCCTATCCTAGCTAGTATGACTTCTTTACCAATCAGTTCTAGTTTTGCTCCATTTCTATGTTTTAGATAAGAATTAAGATACCCTATTATAGAATTATCACCAGTTCCTACCATCATCCAGTCCAGATCAAGGTCTTTCCTTCCTTGAACTTTCCCAAATCACCTACGATAGGCCCAAATCCTATGTTGCTTCTAACACCCTCTTACTGAGACACCTCACATTAGGTCCCCATGGCAAGCATTCTCCCTTGTTACAGTAAGTCAATAAACCCAACGTTGTCCACTTGTAGGTGTGTTACTGGTGGCCTCTGGCTGGAAAGCATTGACAACTCTAGAAGATACAAAGGCAATAAATGAAATTCTATTTTTAAAAGTAGACACAACTCCAAAACAGAGTCCATGCCATTCATTACGTAAGTGTATGGGTTTCTTTTTTAAGTTGTGATATCCTAACTTAGATGAAATATCAGAATTAGGGCAGCCTCTTAAAGCAAATGTTTTAGCAATATATCAGTCAAGAATTTCTCAAGGACTTTTTCTAAAATAGACCTGTTGAATGTATTAATCTCAAATTAATCTCTGCAGTTTAAAAGTATGTTAATTTGGCAATAGTAGGAGAGACGACAGGGACAGTATGCAAAAAATGAGTTTATTTCACAGAGAAATGTTCCTATATTTCACTTTGTGAAGATTTCTTTTAAATTTATTGCCTTCTGAAACTAATGAAGTATCCCTAAGGCAAGTCCTCTCAAAGAAAGATCTATAGACCACAACCTGGGAATCACCGAAGAGCTTTTTCTAAAGCAGATCTGGACTTCCTCATAGTCCTACTGAATCAGAATCTCTAGGACCTTGGCATCTGTAATTTTAATGTTTCTTCAAAAGATGTTTATTCAAAATAAATGTAAAGAACCACAAAGGAGGAGCAGAGGAAAGTAAACTATGCATGCCAATCTGGAGCCATAGCCCAAACTGACTCTTGTAAGAGTAAAATTGCTTTTAAAGTATTACATGTTATATTTTTTAAACCATGTAAATTTTGCACGCTATTCCTATTCATTGATGTTTTTCACTGTAAATTTTAAATTGCCAAATAAATTACCTAATTGTCTTTCCACCCTCACTTCTCCTTTAATTAAAGCTCTATGAATAGGTAGTATTTATCTTGAAGCTTCTAAGAACCTACCAGTCCTGGGAGATAGGAGTCAAACAAATTTCAAGTTCCAAAGGGCACAGATCATTTGCGTTTGGTTCATCATATGTAGGGTCTAGTATAGTAGTTGGCACATAGACTATAAATATTTGTTAGATGAATGAGTGTATATTGCTGTCTTTGCTACATCTCTTATACTGCCTATTGTTTTATCCAGTCAAATTTCATGTGATATAGTCTCTACTCCTATGATTTCTAAGAACCATTATTCACAAGTTCATTAGGTAAATAACCACTTAGACCAAGAACTGTCAGCTAGTATTTCTAGGTCAGATGGAGAAAAGTGTAGGAGCAGGGAGGACTATAAAGAATGTGAATATTTGAGTCAAAATATTTTAGAACTAGAGGGAGACTAATAGAACATCCAATTCGTAGTTCATGGTAAAATTTAAAAAAAAAAAGAATTATACTGGAATCTTTTATGAAGCTAAATCTATTCAATTTAAAGAAGTCCTTCATTCTCAAACTATGTTGTTAACTACCAATTTGAATTTTAAAATGTCCTTTTATAACAATTGTGGTGATAATTATTTTTTTCTTTTTTAATAGCCTCAGTTGGCAAGAAGCCAACCATTTCATCTCCTCTCCCCCATTTCAAAATCTATTGGCCACAAAATCTTAAAGTTTGGGAATGACTGATAGAATATATAATACTAGCTACTATTTAAGTGCTTCCTATGAATTAAGCCCTTTCCATAAATTATTTTCATATTTGTAAGATTTTTCCTGAAAAAATCTGTGAGAACTCTTTCCTCCCTGTACAGATAAAGAAACTGGATCTAAGAGAGATTCGCCTGTAAGTGCTAGAAGACTGCTTAAAACCTGGCAATATATAATCACATACTATTCCCTAATCTCTTGGAAGCTAAACTTATTAGATAGACAATAAAACATCTCTGAAATTCAGGTTTCCCATACATGTAACAGAGATAATTACCTATCTTATTGGATTACTGGGAGAGATTAAAAGGTGGCACATATTTTAACATTAAAACCTAACATAAGGCACTTATATCATTTTCATACTCATCCTTAAACTAAAATCAATTACTTTCAACTTGCCCACATTCTATTCTCTCATTAAAGTACTATTATCGTTCATTAGCTATCATTTAGATGCATACTTAGGCCTTGTTTCCAAAGGTAAGTTTGTTAGATGCCTCCCAGAACTCTACTGATACAAAGTCGCCTCAGCCGAAGTAAGTGACACTATGGCACACTTGCAATTAAGCATTCGTATATTAAATACATAACCAAAGAAAAGCTAAACCCCACTTATCTGCGAATGGTCCTGCTTTAAGAATGTTTTGATGGGTATCGCCCCAGTGTAGCACAGACATACACAGTAACACACAGTAACCTAATAGGAACTGCTTCTTAAGGTATTAATCCCCTAGGTGTAAAGCATAAGCAATGTACCTAGCAAAGAAATATTTTCAATTGGTCTTTTTCAATGCCTCATTTTGCTGTTGCTCCCTTATGAAAAACTGTATCCATTTCCCCCCAACCTTGGTCTCAAAGAAAAGGCAGCTAAATACTTCCATGGAATTTGAGCAACTACTGAAAGATGTAATCTGTAATTTGTTATAAATTATGGTCCATCTTTACTATGCTATTTTATAAACATTAAAAACAATGTGTTTAACTTTACTGACATGAAAAATATTCTTAAGAGAATTGAATGACCACGCTCAATCCTGGCTTCCTGGAAGAAACCTCTGGATAACACTAAAATAGAGAAGCAATTGATTCATAAAAAGGTAAATTAGTAATATTAGGTGGGAACTTGGGATACCATGACCTTCTAGAAATTAGGACCTAGAGAAGATACTCCAGAGGATGAATGGATGGGAAACCAAGTGAGAGCTGGATTCTTCCTAGGTAACTGAGTCTCACACCAGCTAAAGCTATACACAGGTTCACTGGAGAGGTAAGAGCTTTGAGTAGGTTCCTGCCATGTCCCACTCTTCAGTGGAGGATGGCCTGCTGCATATGAGATAACTGGAAAATAGTCTTCCTGGTCTCACATGATTTGGTGAGGAACTTGTTTCAACAACTGTTGAGTACTCACAATATACCAGTCACCCTTCCAGGGAAGGGGAGAGTATCAATGAAGGTGAAAAACATACAACCTAACTTCGAATAGTGTTAACAAGTCTGAATAAAATAAGACTAAATAAGAAGTGACAAGAGATGGAATACAGACCGGCTTGAGGACTGAATGTGAAGAAAGGATCAGCCACACAAACCTTTAGGTAAGAATGAACAAAGTAGCAGAAATGTCAAGTGAAAAGGACTTAAGACAGAAATGAGGCCACTGTGGCTAGAGCAGGGCAACAAAGAGAAATATGAAAAAGTCACAAAAGTTATCAAGAGCCAACTCACTGTAAGAATTTGACATAATGGGACGCCATTACAGATCTTAAGGAAATTATCTGGTCTCTTCAAATCCTAAAGCAATACCTTTCCTACTGTGTGGAGGAGGATGGAACAAGAACCAGGTGAATGAGTAGGGGCAAGAGGGAGCGGTTACCAAGAAACTGAGAAATAAAGGTAGCCTGCCGAAGGTGGTAACAATGGAGAGGAGGCAAAGCACAGCTTCGAAAGAGCCCATAGGATTTGCATATAGATATGGGGATGAGAGAGAACCAAAATGATTTCCATGTCTTTTAGTTTGAACAAGTAAGTATAAGTTAGTACCAGTTAGTGGAATGGGAAAATGTTGAGGGAGAAATAGGTTTGATTAAAAAATCAAGACTTAATGATAGGTAAGTCTCAGAGGTTTATAAAAGGTTAAGATGGAGCACTCAACTATGCTGTCAAACTCTGTACTCAGAAAGGCAGGCCAGATAGACAATTTAGAAGGTATCAGAAGATACTGAATGTCATACAGCAGACAATATTTTAGAGAGAACGGAGCTAGAAAGTACAGTCCAGATCTGAGGTTAAGAATAAAAGGAACTGGCAAATACAGGAGTCAGTAAGGTATAAAAAGAGCATAGTTTCATAGAAGCTTTAAAAAAAAAAAAAAAAAATCAAAAACAAGGAAGTGGACAATTATTGAATGCTGCTGAAGGTTTAGTGAGAACAGAAAAGTGACCACTGCTCTAGAAATATGTACTTGAAAGTTTTGTTAAATTCTACTGTAGGATTCTACCATTACAATTTGTGGTGAGCAGACTAATGACTAATAGCCCCCACAAAGATGTCCACATTCCAATCCCCAGAATCTGTGAATATGTCACTCTATATGGCAAAAGGGACTCTGCAGACATGATTAAATTGAAGTTCTTGAAATGGGAAGATTATCCTGGATTATCCAGGTGGGCACAATATAATTACAAACCTCCTTATAAGTAAAAGAAGGGCAGCAGGAGATGTAGAGTCACATTAAGAGTCAGAGATTAAAAAATGGAAACTGCTGGATGTAAAGACAGAGGAAGGAACCGTGAGCCAGGGAATGCAGCTGGCTTCTAGAAGCTAGAAAAGGCAAGGAAACAGATTGTCCTGTGGAGCCTCCAGAAGGCTTGCAGCTCTGCTGACACCTTAATTTAAGCCCGGCAAGACCTATTGTGGACTTCTGACCTCCTGAAATATAAGATAACGAATTTGTGTTGTCTTAAGGTACAAATTTGTGGTCACTTGTTATAGCAGCAGCGAGAAGCCAATACACAAAGAATTGTACCTGTACAGGGTCATTAGACTTTTATGAAACCTAAGTAGAAATTCCCTTGGTTCATAAATAACAGGCAACTTCATGATTCCAATCTGATAAATACCAAATTTTATTGAGGGTAAATCAGACTCTAATTAGAGTCTGAGCAACCACTGATACAATGACAACACTGCTGCAAACCAGAGGTTCAAGCATGTAACAAGCTGACATGAAAATACTACCACTCTATGAAAACCCATGTGGATCACCAGTTGGCTCCCCTAAATTTCTCTTGGCCCTCACAGTTTGTTCACAGCCTACAGTGCTTTCTTCTGGTTATCACAAATCCTCAAAAATTAATCTTATTCTTTGGTTGATTCGTATTGCTTTTAAGAAAAGTTATCAAGGGTCACTCAGAGACTGATCAGGAGTAAAAGCAAGTTGGCAGAGATTTTATTTATTCATTTCAAGTATTTTCAAATTACTAGTCTAATATGCCCTCTATAAATAAATAACTTATAAATAATTATAAGTCTGAACTCAGCTGATCTAATTTATTAGAAGGCTGATAAAAGGGCTTTCTGAATGCTACCCAAATTTAAAGAATGAGGTAAATTCCATACTTCTTAAACCACTGCAGGTCTATAGTAATCCCATTTTTATAAAATCCATTCTATCTATCCGTATATACATATAGAGATGCCCTAATGTGCATTAACAATCATTCGATTTTAAGTTTTTTGAGGAGTGGTAGGATTTTAAGTGATCATTCTGCTTACTGCTAATTTCAGTTGATTTTTCCCCCCATAACTAGCATGCATTATTTAAATATATCATTTAAAAACACATGCCAAGCACTTCTTCTATCCAATCTGGGAATAGAGGAAGTAAATGAAACACTAGTAAAGGACATGAGAATTTCAAAAATTCAGTACAAGTAATGAATCTCAGTACTAGAAAATAATGTTACTATAGATTATTTAATCAGCTTACCTTTTGCTATGGTTATGATACAGAAAAACTTTCTGGCTATTTCCATTTATAAAACTCAAATTAGGAGTTTTTCCCCCCAAAAAACTTAACATTGTTTTGTTTTAGAGGCATTTTATTTAGACAACTAAAAACAATTAGATGTTCAGAAGCAGTGTACAATGAAAGAGGAATCAAACCAGTTACTTTATCATGTATTCCCTCTTCTTTACAACTAAAGCCAAAAAAAAAAAAAAGAAAAAAAAAAAGGCATTCTGCTTTAAGGAAGAAAGTCAAAAAATAAGCCAATATATTTTTCTTCTCCATAATAACATAAACAGCTACAAGAATCCTAACTGATAATAGAAATTGGATGTTGGCTTGTATATATTCATTAAAAAGATGACAGGCCACTGTACTACAAGAGGATAACCACCTCCCTTCATATGATACTCGAGTTTTCACTTACAGGTAACACCAAGTTAGTTGTTTCAGCACTGGAGCTAATTCATTTTCCCCATTATTTACTGCTGTTTCTGCATTAAGCAGAGAGTAACTCTGGAAGGCTGATGCTTTTCTCTGCTTGCTCGTTTTAGTCCGTAAGTTGTATACTAACTGCAGCATATGATTGATATTCAGGCCTTAACGTCAGGAGTTGAAGAATAGATGCAATCTGAATTCTCTGATGCAATTTCTTCTACAAGTTAAAAAAAAAAAAAAAGTCACATTAGTCAACTTAATAAAAGCAGCAATCTACATTTCTGTTTAAGAAGGAATAAAAAAGTGCTTTTGAAGCATACTATGGCAAGGGGAAGAAGAGAACAACTTGCATGCTATTAATAACTAGAGACGTATGTCATTGAAAAGGATTGAAAAGGCAAAGAAGAAAGAGTTCATGTGTTTTATCTGCTAGACTATCTTACACCATAACTCAACCTCCAAGGGTCCCTTTCTGGCCTAAATTTTCAGTGACTCCAGCTATCTAATAAGCCCTTAATTAAAGTCATGTCTTTGAAAGATCTGGCCCTCTCTTTTAGTGATTCAAATCCAAATATTTAATGCTATTTAAAGCAAAACGTTAACCATCAACATTAAATTTTAGCAAGAAGGCAATTTAACAGTAAAAAAATTTAAGGAAAATTCTAATCGGGTAAATGGTAGTAAACACCTTCCCCTTCTCCCCAAAAATCATCATACCCAGTTTCTCGTAGCAGCAATCTCAAATCTTCCTTATTATACCCCCACTCATCAATCTCACAATTCTAACAAGTCTAACAAAAGACTCCCAATTCCATCTACCATTTTTGGTTCTCATTGTAATTCCCTTATTAAAAACTGCATGTTTGGCTGGGCACGGTGGCTCATGCCTATAATCCCAGCACATTGGGAGGCCAAGGGGGCAGGTCATTAGGTCAGGAGTCCAAAACCAGCCTGACCAACATGGTGAAACCCCATCTTTAATAAAAATACAAAAATGAGCTGGGTGTGGTGGCGTGTGCCTGTAAATCCCAGCTACTCAGGGGGCTGAGGCAGGGGAATTGCTTGAACTTGGGCGGCAGAGGTTGCAGCAAACTGAGATTACAACACTGCACTCTAGCCTGGGCAACAGAACGAGACTCCATCTCAAAAACAAAACAAAACAATCTGCATGATCACTCATCTGGACTATAATGCCCCCTAACTGTCTATGTTCACTCTTATTCCCAGTCCAGTTCTTTCTACATGCTACAGCCAAGGCAATATACATATATTTTAAGACAGAGTCTCTCTTTTGTCACCTAGCCTAGAGAGCAGTGGCACGATCTCAGCTCACTGCAACCTCCACTTCCTAGGTTCAAGCTATTCTCCTGCTTCAGTCTTCTGAGTAGCTGGGATTATAGGCATCTGCCACCACACCCAGCTAATTTTTGTATTTTTAGTAGAGACAGGGTTTCACCATGTTGGCCAGGCTGGTCTCAAACTCCCAAGGCAATCTTTTAAATTCCTCTTCTTAAAAAATCAAAGGTTTCGCATTGCTTTTAGTATAAAACTCCCCAAGTCCTGATATAACAAGAGGCCCTCAAATGATCCAGCTTCTCCAGCTTCACTTTGCCTTTGCTCTTTAACCTCAAGGAACGGAGTTCTCTTAGTACCTCATATGCTATGCTCCTTTTTGGTTCTGCGCTTTTAGTTAACATAGGTTTCCTGCGATAAACTTTTCCATCCTGTCCCTATCAACACCCCATCTCATGACCTTACCGAAATCACTCCTGCTCATCCTCAGGTCCCAGTTTAAATATCACTCCTCTAGGAAGCTTTTTAAAATTCCCCTTACAATAATTTGTTTGTTTTGGCATGTCTCCCAAATTAGACTCTAAGCTCTGAGAGAGTAACCACATCAGTCGTGCCCATACTATATCTCTGTGCCTATTACTATGCAGAAGGTACTTAAATATTTAGTTTATAAATATATATGTACGTATAAATATTTAAACTTTCCATTATTTAAATATGTTCATATTCAATAAATTTCTTCTGCCAATGAGTAAAACTTCTGTCAAAGTCAATTTTAAATCCCCCAGGACTCTTACAAAAGTCAATTCATTAGCATTTACCTAGCTCCTCTTCTGTTGTCTCTGGAAAACCAATCTTTGGCTTTGCCAGCTCACCACTATCTTCTTCTGTAAAAAGAAAAGCAGTGATGATTATATGAATTACACTATTACAAGTAATTTCTAGTGTTCAATAAGCAAGAAGAGTAACATAAAACTATTCCAAGCAATGGCTATAAAATATAATAGAAATAGCTCTTTTTTAAATAATTGTAATTCTAAAGTAGTATGTCTTTCTTAAAAATTACTTTTGGGTTCATACTGTAACTACTTAGGGATTAGTAACTAGTTATCTGTTTTTATTAAAAATGTGTTTACTTTTATTGGTGAGTAACACTATTCAGAGATCAGATACATTTACTGATAAATTCCTTATATTGCCTTCTAGCAAATTTTGAATTAGATCTATTCCAGTCATAAAATGTGCCAGTAAAAAATTTAGAAAGAGACTAGATAGTACAACATATCATATTTCGTTGTTTTTTTTTTTTTTTTTTTTTTTTTTTTGAGACCGAGTCTGACTCTGTCACGAAGGCTAGAGTGCAGTGGCGTGATCTCAGCTCACTGCAACCTCCGCCTCTTGGGTTCAAGTGATTGTTGTGCCTCAGCCTCCCAAGTTGTTGTGATCACAGGCATGTTGCCACCATGCCCAGCTAATTTTTGTATTTTTAGTAGAGATAAGGTTTCACCATGTTGGGCAGACTGGTCTTGAACTCCTGGCCTCAAGTGACTTGAACTCCTAACCTCAAGTGATCTCTACCCACCTGGGCCTCCCAAAGTGCTGGAATTACATGTATGAGCTACCTCACCCAGCCATACAACAAAAAACTTCAAACAAACACAAGAACACAACTCTTTCTCTGGTCAATTTACAATCCTGAGCTTCTCTCTGCTTAAACCATAATATATAATTTAAAATTTATAGAAGACAGATACCCTAAAATAAAATTAATGATGAAAAATGACACAAAATCATACATTTTTAAAATCATATAATTCTGAATAAAAATTCTTACCAGGAAGCACACATTTCCAAAGGCCATATGTTTTTCCTACCACGGTTTGCCATAGTCTCAATGTTCCATCTTCAGAACCACTGGCATAGAGTTCTCCATCAGGACTAAATCTCACACAGTGAATAGGACCAAAGTGTCCCTTGTAGGATTCTGAGAAAGAAGAAGGCTATTAGATAATTTTAACTATTAGGTTAAATATTGATATGGTAAAAAATACTGTCTGTGTTATTGGGGAGATGAAAAATTTTTAAGGACAAACATTAAAAACTTTACTTAATTAAAAATAATTTCTCATCACAAAAGTGGTACATCACTGAACATTTCTCTGTAAGATTACTCCTTTCCAAATCTAGCACACATTCTAGTTGCAGAGTGTCTCTTTAAAAAAGCAAATGAGGCTTCATGTCTCATTAAGAATGGAGAAAAAGAGGCAAATGAACACCCTATAAATTCTATAGAAAGTAGATCTAAAGGCTTATCAGTTCAATCTCCAATTTCCGTATCCTACACTGCCTATTTCTCAGAAAACCATTTTTATCATGACTCTAGAGAGCCACCAGATGGAGCTCTTTCACACACTTTGCCTCTTAATTTCCTACCAGGCTATCTACAGTCCACTGTCACACAGAAAGGCGAGATACAGGATCAACACTGATCCATAAATATTTTAATCTATGGAACCTAATGAGAAAATGTACACATTAGGAGCAATATTATATTCAAGTAGTACCTTTATGTATGAACCTTTCTCATTTAATTTCTAATGCCTCATCACCTAACCAGTTCTCAAAGCTCCTTACTGGACCAATGTTCCTATTCTGTCTCCCATCTCTGTCCAACCAGAGAATAGAAAAGTTGTAAGAGTAGAAAAACATAGCTTTTGGAAAGAGAAACGCTGAGCAGGTCTGGTATTCACTGTGACTTCAGATCTCAGGCAAATAATTCAGTTTTCTCATCTTGAAAAATAATAAAATACGGAAACAAAACATTCTAAAACTTTGAAAACTGGCATTAAATAAAAGTAACAGAAAAGAATATCTGATTTATAAGTCGCTTGTATTCAAGTAATAAAAGCTCAACTATAAGCAATTAAAATAGATTCTACATGGTCCGTCACCAAGGTTCCATTTGTGCAACCCAGACAAATCAATGTTCCCCAAGAAACAAAACACAAAAAATTATCTTTTGTTCTTTGTGTATAATTCTAGCAAGCTCAGTTCTTTGAGTGGTAAAGCAGGACAGCTAGAAACAGATAAGAACAAGAAGTGACAGCTTATAGACAAAAATATATATTTATAAAAGCTAAATATATTTTTAAATTAAAAGCAAAAACTATCCGGGAAGGCTAAAAGTAGACACTGAGAACCACATGTAGCTATGTGAAATATCTGGTCCATCAGATAAATATATGTTAACTTCAAACTAATGCACAGGCCTTTTCTTTCCCCTTACAAAGGACTGTTATAAAAATGAAAGCAAAACTGAACTCCAAAATAGAATAAAATAAATAAAAAACAGAAAAATAACTCTCCAATTCAGATTCCTAAAGGTATCCCTGCAATATGCTATAGTAGTTTTTCCCACACACATTGTTCTTTATAGAGTCTTAGGGATTCCTAAGTTGGCCAAAAGGAAGACGGGCCAAGTAGATGGGGTTACACGCCGACAACATACTTCAGAAACAATGGATCTCCTTGCATCTGTTTAACATATGACTTTGACATAAGATTCCCCCCTCCCTCCCAGCCAATAAAGCCTAAAAACCATGGTACTATAATGCATAATATCAGCATAATGATGCACTTCAGTTAGAAGGACAAATTTCTGCATACTTTGTGTACAGATCTATAAAAGCATCTAACCCAAATGGTTAAAACTCCTTTACTTTTTCACTTACAAGCACCAGGTGTTAAGTTAGCTGAAAAACTGGCTTTCAGCATGTTATATAAATGAGGTGTTAATTACTGGAACTTAACATGTGATAAAGGTAATCACATCACTGTACGGGAGGACAAAGAAAACAACTCACCTAATTCTTCTCCACTATTATAATCATACTTATAAAGTTTAAAATCTTCACCACCTGCAACAAGAAATTCTTTCTCAGGATGAAGAGAGGCAGAATTGATGGTTGCAGGAGCTTCAAAGGATTTAATTGGGTCCAAACTGAAAAAAAAAATTAAGTAGTATTTACAAATCTTGAATATTGTATAAATAATACAAGAAATTAATGAGTTATTTAAACAGTTCTTAAATTCTGAAATCCAAGGAACAATTAAATATACATTTACTCAAACATAAACACTGATGTAAAAAAGCTCTATTAGCAAAACAAAAATTCAGATATATACTATGCCCAAGTGGAGCTCATCTCAGGAATACAAAGACATTTTGATAGAGAGATATCCAGTTTATACAGTGAATGTCTGCTTGGAAATGAGTGCTGGCTAATTAAAACAGTATGAATAATACATTGGGATTTTTGCTTTTAAATAAATTTCACCTATATTGTTTCATTTTTCTACAAGTACATATTATCTTTGTAATAGAAAAAGTTTTCACAGTAGATAATGAATTAATATAAACGATTATATATTATCAACTGCTTAGGGTTTAAGCTCTTCAGCAAGATAAACTTTCAATGTCATAAAATATAAACTGCTAAAAAGTTTTTACTATAAGGCAGTTAAAAACGAACAAAATTTGGGCTCTAGTTACATAATAAAAATCAACGCATAATAATAGCTTCATCTTAAAATTAATTACAGTCTGGACATTAGGTCTTTTTCAGTTTAACCCTAAAACTCACGAAAGGCCTCCAATACAAAACATTATAGTATCCCAGCTCCTAAATGTTTCCGATCATCATACACTTTAAAGCATGATAATTGAAGTTAGTCATGACTTATGCAGGATCACTACATAACAACGTCTGGCTCAAATGCTAGAATATTCAATGGGCCAGAAAACTTTTGCCACCAACATGGGATTTGTCTAACTGCAGAAGTGAATGAGCAGCATTAATATACCAATTGACAGCTCCAGGCAATAGTATTCTACTATTATCAGATCACTGTATGTGTACAAACTCCATGACATTCTTAATTGCTCTCCTCCAATTTTACTGCCTTTTCTTTCCTTCTCCCAGTTTAGTGAAGTTTAACTCTGTAAGTAGCCCTTTAAACACATGGTTAAGACACTGGTCAAATACCAATCAAAGTGTAATGTGGTATAATCTTTATGGAAATCAATTAAGTGTCATGTGTAACTAAGAACTTTAAACCCATTTTTACCCTTTGAACTGATAATTCTACTTACAGGATCCTATCTCGTGTAAAGAAACACTCAGAGATGTACCAGAGCATTCACCGCAATGCTAAAATAGGGAAACTAACCCATAATTTAATACAACCTATAATGCAATATAGTGTATCAACTAAAAATGTTTTCTAAGAAGTTTTAAATAGCTAACAATATTTTTAAATTAAAAAATCAAAATGACATTCATTATGGTCCTAGTAATTAAAGAAAAAAACACAAATACTGTATACCCACAAACACAACATAGAAAAAAAAGACTAGCAGAAAATATAGCTACCATTAACATTCTTGCACCTATGGTTATAATATTGAGTACTTTTTTTCAATTATGTTATATCATCCAGTCTTTCTACAAGAGTATTTACTACATTTAAAGTTGCAAAACTTGAATCTCTTTAAAAAAATAATTAAGTCTGCACATAGGAATGGAAATAAGATTATTCCTTCTCTAAAATTTTAAGGTAAAAATAAATAGTGGAATCCAGATCACACTGTTTTGTTTTTTGAGACAGAGTCTCACTCTGTCACCCAGGCTGGAGTGTAATGGCACGATCTCAGCTCACTGCAACCTCCACCTCCTGGGCTTAAGCAATTCTCCTGCCTAAGCCTTCCAAGTAGCTGGGATTACAGGTGCCTAACACCCACCCAGCTAATTTTTTTTCTTTTCGTATTTTTATTTTAGAGACAGGGTTTCACCATGTTGGTCAGGCTGGTCTCCGACCCTTGACCTCAAGAGATCTGATTACCTCAGCCTCCCAGGGTGCTGGGATTATAGGCGTGAGATACCACGCCTCAGCCCACACTGGTTTTATATAGTAAAAAACATCAATTACAGCACCAATCCAGTAGTTTGTTTGTTTTTTTGTTTTTTTTTTTTTTCCTTTTCTTCAGAGGAGGTCTTGCTCTGTCACCAAGGCTGGAGGGCAGTGTCAAGATCACAGCACACCGTAGCCTCAACCTCCCAGCCTCAAGCAATTCTCCCATCTCAGCCTCTGGAGCAGCTGGACTACAGGCGTCTGCCACCACACCCAGCTAATTTTATTAGAGATGGGGGTCTCACTGTGTTGTTCAGGCTGGTCTCAAGCCATCCTCCCACCTTAGCCTCCTAAAGTGCTGCAATTATAGGCATAAGCCACCACACCTGGCCTCTTTACTTCCTTTTTTTTTTTTTTAAAGATGGGGTTTCACCATGTTGGCCAGGATGGTCTCGATCTCCTGACCTCGTGATCCACCCACCTGGGCCTCCCAAAGTGATGGGATTACAGGCATGCGCCACCGTGCCCGGCCTTCCTCTTTACTTTTAAAAAAAAGCAAATACCTTTCGATTTTTAAGTTGCCTAATGGACCTTTGTTACCTAAAAAAGAAAATGAGAAGTATTCTTGGACATACCTTACTGCACTATGAAAAGCAATAGATCGTCCATAAGTTATAACCAAAATCTCTCCCTCGGGAATGTATTCCATACTACTAACAGACATATTAAAATTTAGAGATTTCACTTCTGTCATAGTAGCATGATCCCAAAGTCTGCAAAATAAAGATAAAAATATGATGTTTAGTCATGTAAGAAAAAAATTTATAAATCCTAATTACATCTACAGATTAGCCAATGAAAGAATAATCACAATTACAGAAAAACAACATTCATCCCAAGTCACAAACTACAGATAATAAAAAGAAATTCTGGGTTTCTGTATACAATGTCAAATTACACATGGTAGCTTGTAAGTAAAATCAACTTTAATACCTAAATACACTTCCCAATGTGGCAAAACTACATTTTTTAAGACAAGTTCTAATCTAGTCCATTTCAGTATTGCTATAAATAGTGTTTCTTATACTCTGCTTTTGTGAATCTAATGAGAGCTACACATCTTTCCAAAGAAATATATATCAGGTACCAGCACACAAAATTTTGTAAGGAATTTCAGAGGTTTCATGGACCCTCCCTTTAGTCAGCCTATCCAAAGACCCCGGTTAAGAACACCTGCTTAAAAAGGTATCAGTAATTTTAGTTTTCTTCTGAATTTTGCTGTCAGTATATACAAAGTGAGTATCCCTTATTGAAAATACTTGGGACCAGAAAGAGGTTGGATTTCAAACTTTTTCAGATTTTGGAATATCTGCATTGACACTTAGTGATTGAGAATCCCTAACCTGAAAACTGGAAATTCAAAATGCTCCAACGAGCATTTCTTTAAGCATCAAGTAGGCACTTAAAGTCTCAGATTTCAGATCATTACAAATTTCAGATTTTCAGGTTAGGGATACTCAACCTAAAATAGTAAATGAACAGCTCCAGATAAATGTGGCCTGTGCACAAATTAAATTTTAATGTTCACACCGTTTTCCCCACATAGTAGTTATTAAATATATTTAAAATATAATCAAAGGAAAAATAATTTTCAAATTGTAATTTTTTTTTTTTTTTTTTTTATTTTTTTTTGTCTGTCACCCTGGTTAGAGTGCAATGTTGCAATCTCAGCTCACTAAAATCTTCGCCTCCCAGGTTCAAGTGATTCTCCTGCCTCCACCTCCCGAATAGCTGGAATTACAGTTGTATGCCACCACGCCTGGCTAAGTTTTGTAATTTTCGTAGAGACAGTGCTTTGCCATATTGGACAGGCGGTCTTGTATCCCTTAACTCAAATGATCCATCTGCCTTGCCTCCCAAAGTGCTGGGATTACAGGCATGAGCCACCATGCCCGGCCTCAAATTGTAAACTATTAAAGAAAAATTACTTACCGAACAGTTTTGTCATCAGCAGAAAGAATCTGTTTATCTTCACTGCACCACAGAGCTTTTTTTATACCAGAAGTGTGACCACTAATTTCCTTAGGTTCTTGAGATAAAACAATTTAAAGTACACATTTGTTAATATGTGATTTTTTAAACTGAACAAAATTGGAACAATTATATATTTTTTAAACACACATTTTAAATTATGCTGCAACTTTTCAAAGCCCAGCCCAATTCAAACTTCATGTTTATACAGAATACACTTAGTTTTTCTATATTGGAACATAAACTTACCTGCATGACAGAGACCAAAGGAACTACCACACTTGCAACATGTAGCTGAGTGAATGCAGGACTCACTCCCTCTAGGCTAATTTACTGCACAACTGATAATAGTCAAAAGCATATTCTATTGCCATGAAATAAAAGAATAATTAATGTGGCATAATTTAATAAGAACATGGACCCAGGAACAAGACAGTTTAAACTGATTTTAGCACTAATGCTAACTCTGGGACCTTCATTCAAGCAGCTATTGGTAGTAACTAACAGGAAATAAGGGTTGGAAGGAAAAGGGAAATAGAAAGCAGGACAGCAAAGAAAATGTTTCTACACTGTGAGGAAAGCATAAAAAAAAAGGATGGGAGCTTGAATCTGTAAATTATCCTTTCAAAGGACTTCAAAAAACCTTCACTGCTGCCTCTGGGAACTAAAGCAAACAGTGGAGGCAATGCCATTCAATACTATTTTCACCTTTGGGCATGTTACTTAACTTTTTAACTATATTTCCTTTCTCTAAAATGAAATAACAATGGTTACAAATGAGAAGAGTGCTTAACAGATGCCTGATACACAGTAAAACCTCAGGAAGTTGCTATCATTTCTGCTACTAGAACAGTGAAAGCAGTGAAAGCGTAACTTTCAAAAAGCAGCTTTGGGAAAGGTAAAGAGATGAAAAATGTCCACCCAATCCCTGAACCACCTTACTTTGTTGAATGAGTTCACAGATTAAATGAGGTCAGAGTATTTTGCTATGTTTTGGCATACATTTATCAAAAAAGAAAGGAGAAAAAACTCCTACATACAATGGAGAATTTAAAAAATCTGTAAATGCAGTTTGTTTCCTCATCTTAAAAATGTTTTCATAACAAACTACCCTAACACTTAGTTAAAATAAGATATTTTAAAAATGTAAAATATTTTTAAAAGCTCTCAGAAATGGAAGGTATCTCAACAGAATAACTGCTTACTTTTCAATGCAGTTCTGATTCTCTTAAATTTTATAGATTTATGATTACATAAATGCCCACATAATCAAATTTGAAAGATACCAAATATATAATAAAACAAAATTATGACTGCCATGTTTTGATACCTAAGTATATATATGGTGAGGGAAATGATTAAAATATTATAAAATAAAGGTGAATATGTGGACAGGGGAAGATACCCATGTTTCTGTAAAATCAGAGAATGCATAAACGATTTCATCATCAAAATTTTTAAAACGTATATACCATAAAACCACCTTAACAAAATTTAAAAGCAAATGATAAATTAGAATTCAATAAAGAAACTTTAAAAACCAGTAAGAAAAACATGAATAACACAAGAGATAAATAGGCAAACGGTATAGACAGGCAGTTATTTCATAAAGAAGGAAGTACATTAAAATGGTATTCAACATCATTTTAATCACATGAATATTCATATTGATACCACAGAATTATTTTCTTCTACTAAATTAACAAAGATAAAGTTAGTTACCAGTGTTTACTAAAACATGTTGGGTATAGATACATATATATACACTTATACTTTGTTGGAGACATTTAGGTAGTATCTATCAATGGCTTCCAACAATTCATTTTTTTTTTTGAGGAGTTTCGCTCTTGTACCCTAGCCTGGAGTACAATGTCATGATCTCAGTTCACTGCAACCTCTGCCTCCCAGGTTCAAAGTATGCTCCTGCCTCAGCCTACCAGGTAGCTGGGAATTACAGGTGCCCACCATCATGCCCAGCTAATTTTTTTGTACTTTTAGTAGAGACGGGGTTTCACCATGTTGGCCAGGCTGGTATCAAACTCCTGACCGCAGGTGATCTGCTAGCCTCGGCCTACCGAAGTGCTGGGATTACAGGCGTGAGCCACTGTGCCCAGCCACGTTCCAACAATTCTACTCCTCTTTGTCCCACCAATTCTACTTTTGCTTAATTATCATAAAGAAATCATTGTGAAAATATTTGCAACTACAAGGATATTTAGCAAAAATACTGCTTTTAAATTTAAAATTTGTAAATAGCCCAAACAGGCCAAAACAGGAAACTAGTTAATTCACCGATGATATATCCACAGGATGGAAAACCAGAAAGTCCTTACAAATAGCTCATAGACTATTTAGTGACGTGAAAAAAACTGTCATTGCAGATTTTTAAAAATTCTTTTGAATAGCTAATATATTTACATGCTTCAAAAATCTAGGCAATATGTGTACAACTGAGAATTCTCACCATCACCACTCTCTATATAAGTAACCACTCTTTTGTACCAAGAAATAGTAACACTGTTCTGCACTGTTTTAAAACTTAATGGTAAAAATTCGCCACAGTAAATTTTCAATTTGGAAGAAGGTTATACAAGAGCAACGTAGCGAACTCATTTTTTAAAAACTGTGCAGGGAAAAAAAAGACAAAGTTTATAAACCAAAAACTGATGAATTATGTTTTAATTTTCTTCTTTCTGATTATATTTTTCAAATTTGAGTACTGAGCATGAAATCCTTTAATCAGTTATTTAAATTAAAAGGAAATAAAACTACAAGGTGATGCATAAATTATGCTTACCTGCTTCAGGTTTGTTTAAGTCATAGATGCGTAACAGTTTATCCTGTCCCCCGGTTAACAAATAATTACTATCCTGAAAACACAAAGTAAAACGTTAAGAGAGTAACCATTTCAATAGTTATTTCTCTTTCAAACTTCTTCAACACCAAATAAAATCAAAATCTAGCTCACAGAGATTACAAAGAGATGCAGGACATAGCCAATTACTTCTGAAAGAAGCGGTGGAACAGCTGCCCTTCTTGTAACTGCCAAGCCTTTTAAGCTTTCCAGACCAAAAGTGTCACACTACACGACATATAGGTGAATTATTTCATTCTGCCCGATCCTACTCTTCTCCCTCCTGAGAGGCCCTTTTGTGATTACTTCATATTTATCTTCTCCCTTCTATAAGTAGTTGGGAAAGGTTACTGAGCTTTTCAGATGTTTTTTGCTATTGTTGAAGGACTGGTACTTGTTCCACCGTTATCTTAAAAGCTTGACAGGATTAACCACGAAACAAATTCATAGAACTTCATATACAATCAAATCAAATATGAACCAAGAAATAACAAATATTCCACACAAAATGTATAAATCAAATATACACACCAATCAAATATAAAAGCATTATCACATTGTATAATAGGAACTTAACTCGCTAAAATAAATTTCATTTTCTGGTACCTGTGTGAAATCAACAGTCTTGACAATGTGTTTATGAGCCAGAGTCATCAATTCATCTCCTGAGACAGCATCCCACACTTTGCTAAAAGTAAAAAAGGAAAATTAGTAGGATAAATCTTACACAATATTAATACATTAAAAGTATAAATACAATTATAATATTGATGAGTACCAAATAAGTTAGATATATGAAATGTTACATAAATATATTATAAACCTCCTTTAACTCTAATATCCCTCACAGACTTCATTTGATAAAATATTTAAACAAGCTTAAGGGAAAAGAAATTTCTCTGTAAAGACTTTATAACTAATCTAATTTTCTTTGACAGTAGAAAAGATATTAACAATTTAAGTAAGATTCATGAACCAACCCATCCTACTTTTATTTTAGCTGATAGCCATAATATCCCTTTAGCAAGCATGTAATAAATATATTTTAAACAATTTTTAGTTTCACCATGCCAATTTTCTCTCTATTTCCACTCAAATGCACAACAAAAAATAAAAAATAAACAGAAATCATTAAAAATTTTACAGGGGAATGAAAACCCTTTGTACAGGTTAAGTAAAATTTTAAATTAAGATAGTGGAGAGACAATTCCCACCTCATCTTTTCTTCAAAGCTGACTTAAATTTTCATACTGTAGTATAGTTAACTTCCCCCAAAGTATCAGCCTTTGATTAAATGCTGTAAGATAATTTTAATCTTTACATTCGTTTTTTCTGACCCACCCCGCCTCAAAATACCTGGTGGTTGTAGGTATACATACATGTATGTGTGTATATTCCAGACACATAATAGTTGAAAAATGCTTTACAAAATTACTCTAAAAGGGTTCCCCCAAATAAAAAAGCTTAAATAAGGGGAAAAAAAAGTTGATTTTAGATCAGAACAGGTCAGTGAAAAATCAACAAGAAAACTTTGCAGACAGGGAAAAGAATTGCTAAGAGTAAAGAAGCTGTGTTCCACAGAGATTTCCACTTGAATGCAATTGGTATTTATTTTTAGGAACACAGTGGGAAATAAAATGGTAGAGGCGGAAAAAAAGCAGAGAAAAGCAAGAAATATCTTTTCCTTTGTCTACCTAATAAATACATAATAAAGTATATTAAAGATGTATCATTCTAAACTTAGTGCTAAGGCACAAATGGGAGACAAAAAACATCCCGCAGTAGGTTCCTGCCCTAGCAGAGCTTTAGCTGAGGAGAAAAACATGCATTAAATAACACAGTTAAGAAATATAATTAAAAGACAAATATATATGGCTATAAAAACTAAAAAAAAAAAAGCACTTAGATATTGTCCAGAAAATCTATGTAACAGAGCTAGCCATCTGAAGAAGCAAAGAGAAATGTATCAGGAGGAAAAGAAGGGAAAATCCAGATAAGCATTAATAGCATGTGTAATGTGGTTAATAAATACGAGACCATCTAACAGGAATTCTGATGATACACTACCAAAGCTTGCACTATTATAATAATGTGGGTCACATGAGTGGCTGAATAAATACGTTTTAAAAGAAATAATGACAACTATAAGTAATTTTGCTAGTAAACTCCCCAGTATTCATTTCTCTTTGCACAGGAAACCTGCTCCTCTCTCTCTCATTCCAATACAACTCTCTGCCCCCACAACCTCATTTTGTATTGTTTCTCTGAATCTAGCCACATCAAATTATAAACTATTCTTCAAATAACTTATGTATTTTCTTCTAGGCTCCTATGTTCTTATTCATATTGTTCTCTTAAGTCTGTATTTTACATTCTTAGCTATTAAAGTTCTACTCACTCTCAGGGCTCATTTCAAATGCTATCTTTTCTTTAAACCTATTTATTCTCAACTCCAGTAATTAACCATTCCTTTCTGTTCTGCCACAGAACTCCACTTACACTTATTACTGTGCTTAATTTTGCCTTGTGTTTTGTTTACATATATCCTTAATCACAGGGAAATGCACTTCATGGTTGTGTTAAGAGTTCACAAGTATTAGAATGACAGAGGCATCAAAAGTGAAGAAAACAACAAATGTATCTAAAATTACTATTTTAGTTATTCACAAGTCTCAAAAGAAATCTGGGCAATATCTTTATATATGCTAATTTCAAGCATATTAAGTAATCTTCCGTAAGCTTAAAACCTCTTTTTTTAGAGACAGAGTCTTGCTATATTGCCCAAGCTACATTTGAACTCCTGGTCTCAAGATCCTTCTACCTCTGTCACCTAAGTAGCTACAGTCTAATGCCATCATGCCAGCTCTAAAATCTTAAGATCTGCTTAGACTGTGTCTATTCACTGGTGAGGACAGAGTTGGAGTGACCAAAGTAGTAATATTAACAAGAAGTAACGTGTCTGTAGTTTTTCCTCCTATTTAGAAACAGGATGTCTCCTATTTAGAAACAGGATTTATTTTAGTACTAAAATAGAGGCATGATATTTTCTAATAGGGCATGTACTAACTCTGACATATTTCCATTATTCACAGTTAAGAGTCCTAAAATGCATCTAACCTAAATATTTACTAATGTATTATTCAATCTCCAGGAAAGAAACTGATATGTATTAGTTGGCAGCAGACCTCAAATCAAGACAGTAAAGCACCATTAACAATGTCCTTTCAGCAGCTAACCCTCCAACACTTATTTTCTTCACATCTCATGAAGTACTTGTCATCTCCTCAAACTACTGATACCTCTTACAGCCCCAGTTTCTTGCACATAATCTTGTCTGATTAACTTTTTGTATCCTCAGAATGAACTTACCATAAGTCTCATAATAGGAGCTGCTTAACTTGCTTATTTAAACCCATTTAAGATTTTTAAAAAATTGCCTAACTACCTTAACATTTTTTCTTTTTTTTTTCTGGGCTCAAGTGATCCTCCCAGCTCGGTCTCCCAAAGTGCTGGAATTACAGGCATGAGCCACCATGCCCAGCTCTATCGTATGTTTTTTGCTTTGAGGTTACCATGAGGTTTGCAAATACTGTCTTATAATCCATTATTTTAAACTAATGACAACTTATTATGTCTTATTGTACTATTTTTTATTTTTGACAGAGTTTCGTTCTTTTCACCCAGGCTGGAGTGCAATGGTGTGATCCTGGCTTACTGCAACCTCTACCTTAACATGTTGACCAAGTCATCTAGGAGATACCATTTTTGATTTGTCAAAAACCTTATTAAAATTAAAATTAGACATTTCTATTGGCTTTACAAGAAAGAGTGATATACTTTGATTACTTATAAACCCCTGGGCCCAACCGCAGATCTACTTAAGCACTCTTGGCAGCACAGCACAGAACTGTCTTTATTTTGGCACTCTTCCCAAACATACAAAGAAGATGGTGTTTTGGGGACACTGTACTCAACACCGGGCTCAATTGCCCAAATTCTTAAGATAACATGCTACAATAGTCCACAGGCCTATTCTGCTGAATTTCTCCCCAAGAAACAGGACCAAAATCCACTTCTAGATAACCACAACATAAATGAGTTTTCCAAGAAATTTAAGAGTGAAGGAAAAAAAAGATGTTTCTAGAAATGCTTTGTACCAACTATGACTACTCAGGTAGGCTGTGGGAGGAACTTCTTGGGAGTCACACACACACACACACACACACACACACACACACACACACACACGAAAACACATTCCCACAGACACACATGCACACTACACATACACACAACATACCACAAATGAAGGATAAATCTCAACTGGCATTTGGAATACACACACACACACACACACACACACACACACACACACATGAAAACACATTTTTATACCCCATAGACAAGACATAGAGGAAATGAGGAATAAATCTCAACTAGCATTTACTGAGTACCTACTATGTGACAAAGATCATATTGGACTTCAGGGATATATGGTGGAGAAAGATCTCTCTGTTTCTCCAATAATCTCATGGGTCTTAGTCCCATTTTACAGAAAATCGAGGTTTAAGAAACATCCTGCCATGGTGGGCAGATCGCTTGAGCCCAGGTGTTCAACACCAACCTGGACAACATGGCAAAGCCCTGTCTCTACAAAAAATACAAAGATTAGCCAAGCACAGTAGTACATGCCTGTGGTCACTACTCAGGAGGCTGAGGTTGGAGGACTGCTTGAGACTGGGAGATAGAGGCTGCAGTGAGCTATGATCACGCCATTGCACTCCAGCCTAGGCACCTAAGACCCTGTTTCAAAAAAACAAACAAAAAATCCTATGATGATCAAACTGGAAATACACAGCATAGTTAAGCACATGAATGCATGCCCCCCTAGCGCCAATGTTTGTTATTATTTTCCACTCTAACACAGCACCTAAAGCCTTAACTGAGAAGAAAAAAAAAAAAATCACGAAAATCTTCTTTCTTAACATTTAAATCCACTCAACCTTCCTTATATGAAGCCAAATGTTTCAAGGCTTTAGCCATATTAGTTTCAAAATAATATATGATTTTGATCAAGTGTGGGTGGTAATAGTTTAGTGGTAGCTATCATTGTTACTTTACATATGTAACACTTTCATAGACTTAATAGACTTCAGGCAATGTTCTAAGTATCTGAAACATATTATTTAATATTCATAACCAACCAATGAGGTAGGTACCATGAAAGAAAAAGAAAGGTTAAATAAAGTGTCTGAGGCCACCAATTCAAATACAAGTCATCTGGCTCTAACCTTCATGCTCTTAATACCACTTGTAAACACAGACATTGAGACTTGAAATGTTAAGAAAGCATAAAAACAATGCTGTTTCAACAAAGAAGAGCATACAGTCTGTATCCACCACCAAAATCAATCTACCTTGATTTTTTTCATTCTACAACTGGTATGTTTAATTTACCTAAAATGAAGGAGGTAGCACATTTACAATTACTCCTTAGTGTGAGATTCTGTTAAAAAAATAAATAAATAAAGGCCAGGAACGATGGCTCTCATACCCGTAATCCCAGCACTTTGGGAGGTCAAGACAGGCAGATCACTTTAGGTCAGGAGTTCGAGACCAGCCTGGTCAACACAGCAAAATCCCGTCTCTATTGACAATACAAAAACTAGCCACATGTGGTGGCAGGCACCTGTAGTCTCAGCTACTTAGGAGGCTGAGGCGGGAGAATCACTTGAAACCTGGGAGGCAGAGATTGCAGTGAGCTGAGATCACACCACTGCACTTCAGCCTGGGCACAGAGCGAGACTCTTGCTCAAAAATAAATAGATAAATAAATAATCAATAATACTTGCACTCTCTAGCCTCTTAAGTCTAATAAACCTGTGTATGTACAACAGTTCTTGATATTACCTTCATCAGTTTAAACAATGAAGTGTCAAATTCCTAAGTTACAAATACCAAGTAGGAACTGGAGATAACAAGATTTATAAAATATGATACATTCCCAAAAAAGGCAAAGAGGGCCACTGCAAGTCAGTTTAATAACATAATTAACAGTCAAAAGTCAGAACAGGTAAGGTATATTCTGGCAACAATAAGTTTAGTATAATTAGATTGCAGGGTTTGTGGTGTGCAGGGCCAGAAGATGATGCTGATGAACTAGGATGAAGCAAACTGTAAAGTGTCAACAACTGAAGTGTGTCCTTCAGGTCAGCGATTCTAAGGCTGCACATAGGAAAGAAAAGAAAGAAAAAAAACCACCAATGATCAGTATTCAGTACTCCATCCTCAGCCTAATCAAACCAGAACTTCTGTGCCAGGCATGGTAGTTCACCCCTGTAATCCCAGCTCTTTGAGAGGCTGAGGCATGGAGGCCAAGAGTTTTAAGACAGCCTGGGAAACACAGCTAGTGTCTGTACAGTAAAAAGTATTACAAAATATTTTTGCATGTAGCAAAAAGTATAAATACACACACATACACACATACACACACACACACACACACACACACACACACACATATAGTAAAAAGCCAAAAAAAAATTTTTAATACGAATTTCTGGGACACATACATTTGAATATTTGAAAAGCTCTCCTAGTATTCTAATGTATACCAAAGGTCATGAAATACTAAAATTGCAAAGGGAAGACAGGAAAATCATTAGGTAGAGAAGTGACATGATCAAATATGTTTTTAGGGAAACAACTGACAGCAATATGGAATACGAAAAGGAGGAAAAGAAACTACTGGAAGAAAGTTAAAAATGATCCTGAACTAAGGCAGCAGATACTACATGGAGGAACACTGTAATCAAGAGACATCCCACTGGAAAACTCAAAAAATGATGATAATCTAGATGTAAGGGAAAATCAAGAATGCTTTACATTTCAACCTTTCAAAACTTAGGAAATGAAGAGAAGTTGAGTTTTTTGTTTGTTTGACACGATGAGTGTCAAAAAGCCTAAAGCCAGTTAACAAAAACTGGGATTGAAATAAAAACCTAAGGCCATCCATGTAGGATAATATCACTAAGGAGTACATACAGAGCAGCATTCATAAAGGAGATCAACAATCATTATCTGGAGTGTTTGTTAACGCAGATTCCTGAGTCTTAATCAAAACATAAGGAATAAGTCATTTAAGCCTCTGAAAATTTTGAGAACCACTGAAAACAAAGAAGCACACAGGACCACAATGGAATTTTGGTGAGCTCAAACATCTGGCATTCCACATGGCAGCCAGTGATTCAGAATTTTATGAATATCTGAGGTTGAAGTTTTTCATTATTTCTGGACACAATCTACAGAGAACACCAACGTTAGCCATCTTGGCTACACTTACGCTGTGAAATCTGCAGCTGCTGTAGCTGCTTTGGTGGCATCCTTATTCAGTGTTGCACCCCAAACAGCACCTTTATGACCCAAAAATGTTCCAATCCAGTCTCCTGTATCTCCCTGGCGTAGCATAGGTTTACCATCTAGAAAATATTTTTTAAAACATGTGATTTAAAGTTCAGATTAAAGTCTAAGATTCAAATGTAAATATACAATGATGTTCAATGACAAAGTGGAAAAATTATTTCAGCTATTTAACCGCCCACTGAAGTCACTAAGGAATGTCCAGAAATAAATTAACTGAAGAGCTGAACAGATCATTCTCTCTGAAAAGCATCTGTAATTCGGTGGGAATACTGATCTGCGTCAAAACAATCTAGACTTGAGTCTTAATTTGGACAAACATCTTAACCTAAATCTCAGTTTCCCATTTGAAAATGAGGCTAATGCCACAAAGGAATATCCAGTGAGACAAGAGCGAACATCTTCATAAGGTATTGCACGGCCTGGCCTAATTTCTCCTTTCCAAATCCTTGAAAGCTATTTACAACGTTGTCCCGAGAGTCTAGACAAGTGCTGTCCAGCTCCTCCAAAAATAGCAATAAAAAGAAAACAAGGAGAGAGATCTTAGTTGGAGGTAATAGTCTCTACAAAAGCGTCCAGAGGCCTCTTAGCTCCAGTTGCGGATTCTCCAACACACTGCTTTCTCCACCGGACCTCCAGTGTTGGCCCTCACTTCAGAGGTTAACAGCGTTCTCTCCCCGCCCCCCCACCCTCACCCCGCGCTTCAGTACTGGAGCTTGCGGGTCCCAATCCCTTTCAGCCCAGTCCCAGCCATTGGGGACGAGGATCAGAGGCCTTGCTCACCTTTGCAAGCGCTGATTAAGAAATACCCATAAGGCGTGATGCCACTGAAGGCCAAATCAACTACGGGCC